CATCGATTACCTTTTTACTGTATTTGTCATCCACCGCGGTGATTATGTTTATCTCTTCAATATTATTTTATTAAAAAGTCGGTGAAAGGTGACCCATTAGAGGCTATTGATGTGTGTGATTCCCTCTGTAAATAAATTGCTCACATCTATGATTTTTCGCTTAATATCACTTTGCTGTGTAATTACGTAACATACAAATCATATTTCTGATGGGCCCTCTGACAATAAAGCGGAACACACACAAGAAAGAACCCATATTCTTCCATGTTCCTGTTTTTTTGGGCATTGCCAAATTGTTAATGTCAGCAAATTGTCTCCACTTTATTCATGATTTTGATGTGTGCAAGCCCGTGGAAGATATGTTCATTAATAATTCACTATACTTTGTAGTTGTACTAGTTTTTGAGAATTGCACGATTATGTTTTTTGGAGCATAGTTCAATATTCCTTTTTGTTATAATGTAAGTTTTAAAATGTTTGTCATGCGCAATGAAGCATTAATATCTCCCACAACTAATGATCAAGATCGTAACACTGCCCAAAGTTGAAAATGCTGTTTTGTAGCAACAAAGAATCTTTCTATTCGAGGGCCATCCTGCGTTATGTGTGCTCATCCAAATTACACAGTTTCGAACACGTCATTTAAAGGTTTGAAAAGGTTCAGCCTTATGCCAGGATCTATAAGCCAACAGCCTGCAGTGTTACTAGCTGAAGTTCCTCTTTTTATTTTAATGATTATATTATAGACACACTTCCCTGCCCTCTTCGTTTGACATGATTCGAGAAAAATGGCCTTGATTAAACTTCGTAAAATCTAGCAAATCAAAAAATGCGCAGTTGCTCATGCACTAAGGGTTTGAGTAAACGCATAGGATTCAACCTCTAAATGCATGGTAACATTATCAAACATTGTGCACATTTTACTGGGAAACAGTTTGGTAGATACTCGGTACTTGAATTTCGTTTGATTAATATTAAAAAAAATTGAGATAGTTTAGAGTGGTGCTATTTCGTGAAACAAATCTTAAGGCCGGTTCATACTACCAGCGAATGTAAAACCAAAGCAATTCGACGTCAAAAAAGATTTCCAGCGAAATCTCGTTTGAGTTGACCTGGATTCATTTTGAGCTTTTATCCTGCCATCTCACCTTCCTCATCTTTATTGTTCCCCTCGCATTCATACCCAACATTAAATTGCTTACATTGCTCACATTTAAAACTGATTCTTTTAGATGATCCTCCTCAAAGGCAAAGCCCTTTTGAGGTTTACCACTTATACTTTCAGCTTTATGTAATCTCTGATTTCGTACTCTTCTAAGAGCAAGGAGTCACAAGCGAATTCGACGTCACAAAAGATTTACAGCGAAATTTTGCTTGAGTTGAGATTATGTTCAACTTCTGCAAATTATTTGATCTGACGTCACAAATTTGCGCTGTGTGTATTTAATTTGTCTGTTAGTATAACTGACAGAAAACGAATTTCAAGTTTAGTTTGATCAGAAACCAAGGGCAAAGAGGAATATTAACAGGACAAACTATGCTACAGGGTCTTAACTGGCCATATCCGATCTACACTGTTAAAAAAAATACCGTATTTTTACCGGAATGTCTTGGCAGCTGGGACGCCAGTACCGTCCCGTAAAAAAACGGTTATACTGAAATTACGGGACGTTCTGTTAATTAACAAGTTCTATATATATTGTCAATTAACGGTTTGTTCCTTTAAAATAACGGAATCCACCCTGTCATTTTTTTACCATTTCCTGTTTTATAACAGAACACCAAACTGTTATCTAGTGTTATCTATGGTGTTATTTAGCATTTTTTCACGTGACATGCCGTTGATATTCCAGTAAAAGACCGGTATTTACCACGTTATTTTCCATGCACTTCCCGTTTTTATATGCCCAAACCAGTTTTCTCACAGTGTGTATACCGTCATTAAACGGTTCGTCTCTTTCAAAATACAAGTATATTAGTAGAAAATTTTTATCAAACCAGTAATCTTAGAACGAAATCCAGTTTTATGAACATTTTTAACTGTTAAAGCACACAGACAGTTTGTGATAACGCGTCAGTGGTGGTAAATAAACAGACAACAGTTGCTATTTCACAGTCACTGTCTGGTTTATTCTCTCTCACAATTTCGCTCAAGAGGCTGACAAACCTTGAACTGGATGGCTGGCCTATAAATGCTGACATCATGTGGAGCATCTTAAGGCTTGTGAGATTTCCCTTTGTTTAGAAAAGAAAAAAATTTAATTTAAAGTTTGTTAACGGTTTTTTTTAGACAACACCTCACACACATCCTAAACCTGTATATAACACTGAAAAACTATAGCAGTATTTTATGCTTAACACTTGGGAAACCCTGTTTCGTTGAATAATCAACACAAAAATACTAACAAAAATACTTCTCATAAAGTCTGCCTTTTAGCACCGTCCAAACTTATAAAAAAATCAATATCTGAATTCAAAAAAGTTAGCAAGTTTTTTACTTTAATCTGACCTTATAATTAGGGCAACATTAATTTGGGAAAGAGTTCCGGTATAGAAGTTCAGATGACTCACTTAGCACAAACTATGTGGTCCTAGTCTGAATAACTGTTGTCAAAATACTTCATTTTTCGTCATACTACATCTGACTTTTGGGACCTGATGTGGGTTTACGG